AGCCAGGGCAAGCCATCTGCTGGCAGAGCCTTGTTTCCCCCTCTGTACGGGGGAGGGAGTAATTGCCCTGGTCCCTGTACGACATAAGCAGGCTGGTGTGTGTAATGGTGCCCAGCATACAGGTGCTGGACAAGGGGAGTGTTGCAAGTGATGGGGCTCAGGAGCCTGAGGCCCATGGGGCAGCACCCTGGGGCGGGGTGCAGGGACCCCCCACTCCCAGCCTCAGCAGTCACAGCTCCCTCGCTGGCTCCCACACAGTGGCGGCCTGGTGCTCCTGAAGGTGAAGGCGAAGGTCCGGCGGTACCTGCGGCAGCGGCGGACAGTGCCCATCTTGTTTGCCTCTACGGTACAGCGCCACCCTAACAAGACAGCCCTGATCTTTGAGGGCACAGACACACACTGGACCTTCCGCCAGCTGGATGACTACTCGAGCAGTGTGGCCAACTTCCTGCAAGCCCGGGGCCTGGCCTCCGGCGACGTGGCTGCCCTCTTCATGGAGAACCGCAATGAGTTCGTGGGCCTGTGGCTGGGCATGGCCAAGCTGGGCGTGGAGGCGGCCCTGATCAACACCAACCTGCGGCGGGACGCCCTGCGCCACTGCCTGACCACCTCCCGGGCCCGGGCCCTCATCTTTGGCAGCGAGATGGCCCCAGGTGAGCCCCAAAGAGGCAGGGACAGGCAGGAAGTCTCATGGGACCTTGCACAGACCTCTTCCAGCCCTGGGGGAAGCTGTGTAGCTCCGAGGTTAAGAGCATGAGCCTTAGAATCAGACGGCCTGGGCTCTGCCACTGGTAAGCTGGTGATCCTGAGTAAGAGACCAGAATTCTCTGTGCCTCCGTTTCCTCACTGTAGTACCTACTCATACTGTTTTCAAGGCAATACTTCACCTGAAGCATTAACAAAGTGGTTGGTGGTAGGTGAGTCCTCAGATTTAATTGGTAACCATTCTTGTGACTGATTAGGCCTCATTTCTTCATCTGTAAAATGGGAACAAGAGTCCATTCTCTGCTGTCCTGCAGAGCTTACCTGGTATGTTAACTGGGTGCTGAGCATGGTCCTTTACAAGAGCAGCTCTAATCTTCACAAAGCCTGCTGAGGAAGGGACTGTCATCAGCTTTGTAGATGAGGAGACTGAGGTTCATAGTGGTGTGAGGAACTCATGCAGCTGGTAAGTGGTGGAACCCAGATTTGATCTGGGCTGGGCCACAGTGTTCCTGTTCTTTCTCCCCACGCTGCTGTGGTTTGTGGAGTAATGGACAGGGAAGGTTATTGAGAAGTTGAAAGGGGAAGAGGACAGATTCAGCAGGGAGAGTGGAGATGTTCGGACAAAAAAAGAGGAAGCCAGAGGAAATGGGGCCAAGTGGGCCAGACCTGGCCCATGCCTAGGGCGGGTGGACATCTGTAATGCATGGGGGAGCCTGAGAGAAGGCTGTCTGAAGAGGCTGGAGGGCTGCTAGCCTCTGAGCCCCACTCCTTCCTTCTAACCAGACCCCCACGGACTAGTAAACCTTCATGTGAGATAGAGCTGGCTTCGATTCCCAGCTTCAGCGTATTCTAGCTGTGAGCAAGTCCCTCTCATTCTCAGAGCCTCAATTTCCTCATCTGTAAAATGGGCTGATATTGGTACCTACGTCCTAGGTTGTGCGAGCAGGAGAATGCATATAAAGAGCCCACTGTGCGAGCAGGAGAATGCATATAAAGAGCCTCCTATCAGCATCTTTCTTATTATGAGGTCCTGGGTGCTTCTCTCTCCGCCTACCCAGCCAGCCTCCCCGGACAACATGCCCAGCCCTGACATGAGCAGAGTTCCTGGGAACACGGTTTCCTGGCCAGCCTGCTGATCTGCCCTGTCTCCCCCGCAGCTGTCTTTGAGATCCGTGGCAGCTTGGACCCTTCAATCAGCCTCTTCTGCTCTGGTCCGTGGGAGCCCAGCCTAGTGCCTGCCAGCACGGAGCACCTGGACCCTTTGCTGGAAGATGCCCCCAAGCACCTGCCCAGTCGCCCTGACAAGGGCTTCACAGGTGAGTCCCCCATCCCCCACAGAGGGACCCTAAGGTGGCCAAGGACAGATCACTGGCCTCATGGCCAGAGCCTGTGTTCTGCATACTTGCTGTGTGACCTGGAGTGAGTCGTGTCACCTCCCTTTTCCATCTGGGAAAATGGGTACAGTAACTCTGGGGTTACTGTGCAGGTTCAATGAGCTGGTATGTAGGAAAGTGCTAGGCATGGTGTTGAGTACACAGGAGCTCACAAAATCTGATTCTGATTTGTCAAACAGCCTTCATGGATGCCTAACATGTGCAGGGTCATGCGGAGCCCAGGAACCTGCTGTTTCTGAGTTTTGTTTGGAGTTGGGCCCGGGGCCCTTTAAATATTCATCCAGCACCTGTTCAGTGCAGGCCCCTGTTGAGCTGTGATCCTCCCCTGTACTGGGCTGCCTGTCTCCACCTCCCCTCCTCCAGGCAGCCCCCCAGACCCTCTTGCCTCTCTTCTTCTATACTGCTTTGTGGAGCCCAGAGCTTGCTATATCTCCTGGTGGCTCAGAGCTTGGACTAGTTCATATTCTGGCTCTGTTGCTTCCCTTGTGTGACCCTGAACACCTGAGCTGCCCCTCTGAGCCTTGGGTTCCTACAGCCATAAAATTGGGGGTGGTAACAGCATCTATTTTGTGTAGTGACTAAGGATTGAAAGAGATGCACTGGGAGACTAGGGTGTGACAGGAAGGGCTCAGTAACAGGTCATTGTCCTCATTATAGTCATGTAATCTGTCATATCTTATCTCCTGGTGCTGTTGTAAGCCACTTGAGGGCAGGGACTCAGACTGGTTCAGCCTGTTGCCCTCATGGTGTGCAGCCTAGGCTGGCATACAGCAGGCACACACGAGCAGGAGATGGTCAACAAGGAACATGCAGTCACCCCATGGTGTTCCGGACCTCCTGGAGCCTCCAGCCTAGGGGGGGGTGAGCCTCATACAGAAACCGTAATGTGGCAGTCCCTGGACTGGGCTGCAGGGTGGGAAAAAGAAATGGCCAGTGGTGCAGGAGCGACCTCAGCACCCTGCTTCCTGCAGCTCATGCCTCCCTGCAGCTCATGCCTCCCCGCGCTCTAAGACCTCCCCGCGCTCTAAGACCTCCCCGCGCTCTGAGGCCCTCCCTGCGCTCTGAGGCCTCCCCGCGCTCTAAGGCCTCCCCGCGCTCTGAGGCCTCCCCGCGCTCTAAGGCTCTAAGACCTCCCCGCGCTCTAAGGCTTTAAGACCTCCCCGCGCTCTGAGGCTTTAAGACCTCCCCGCGCTCTAAGGCTCTAAGACCTCCCCGCGCTCTAAGACCTCCCCGCGCTCTAAGACCTCCCCGCGCTCTAAGACCTCCCCGCGCTCTAAGACTCTAAGACCTCCCCGCGCTCTAAGGCTCTAAGACCTCCCCGCGCTCTAAGGCTCTAAGACCTCCCCGCGCTCTAAGGCTCTAAGACCTCCCCGCGCTCTAAGACCTCCCCGCGCTCTAAGACCTCCCCGCGCTCTGAGGTGGCATCACCTCCTTTGGGAAGCCCTCCCTGTTGCCACCTCCCCTCCCTGAAGCCTGGGTCAGGTGCCCCTGGGCTTCGACAGGCCCTGTGCTTCCCTTTGTGCTCAGTGTTGGAATGCCTGTCTGCACCTGCCTGTCTCACATGGCTGCAACCTCCACCAGGGCAGAGCCTGTACTCTTCTTGGTCACTGATGTCTCCCTGGGCCTGGCACAGAGTGAGGGCCCAGAAAACGTTTGTTGATGGAACAGATCAGGCATTAGAGCAGAGGGTGGTGTCTGGAGTCATCAGAGTAGCCTTCTGGAGGAGGTGTGATGGGAGTGGGCACTGAATGATGCGCACACACGGGTGTCCGTCTGACTCCGCACTCAGCCCTGTGCTGCCCCCTCTCACAGATGCTTATGTGTCTGTTTTCTTCAGATAAGCTCTTCTACATCTACACATCGGGCACCACGGGGCTGCCCAAAGCTGCCATCGTGGTGCACAGCAGGTAAGGGACAGGGCCTGGGGGGGAGAGCCGGGGTGACAGGGCCCAGGAGCCTCCCCTTCTGCCTTCCCAGGGGCCCACTGAGCTCTCCGCCCTCTGCCCTCTCAGGTATTACCGCATGGCTGCCCTGGTGTACTACGGATTTCGCATGCGGCCCGATGACATTGTCTACGACTGCCTCCCACTCTACCACTCCGCAGGTAACGTGGGCCTCTCCTCCATCCCAGAACCCCTAGGGCAGTGATGGCGAACCTTTTGAGCTCGGCGTGTCAGCGTTTTGAAAAACCCTAACTTAACTCTGGTGCCGTGTCACATATAGAAATTTTTTGATATTTGCAACCATAGTAAAACAAAGATTTATATTTTTGATATTTATTTTATATATTTAAATGCCATTTAACAAAGAAAAATCAACCAAAAAATGAGTTCGCGTGTCACCTCTGACACGCGTGTCATAGGTTCGCCATCACTGCCCTGGGGCCTCAGAAACACTCCCTCTTGGCAGGCGGCATGTTGCAGTTGAAACACATGAGCTTTCGAGTGAAATCAGGGTTCAGATCCAGATGTGGCCATTGACTGGAGCTCTGAACAAGGATGGCCAAAAAATAAAACAAAAAACAACAACAATAACAAAAACGAGATGGCCACACCAGTCTGATTGCTTGTATGGCCATGTCCCGCAGGGCACCTGGGCTGATCTGACTGTTCAGTTTGTTCCCGTGGATATACATGGCCTTGCTGCTTGGTCTTAAGAGCTTAAGGGAAGACAGAGATGGGATAAATATAGTTCCTGTCCTCAAGGTGCTTAGAGTTGGGTGTGTGTTTGGGGCAGGATGAATGATGGGAGCACACCTTCCATGATACAAGAAACAGCGTGGTGAGTACGGGAGGGCCAGGGAACAGGAGCTCAGCTCCAGGGAAGAGCTCAGTCTGGCCAGGAAGGCTTCTTGGAAGAGGTGTACTCAATGCAGGCAGATGTGAGGTGCAGAAGCCAGGCGGGCTAGCTTTGCCCGCCCCCCCCACTCCCCACCCCCAGTTGAAGGGCATCATTACAGTTATAGGAACGGGAACTTAGGGCCAGCTCTGCAGGCTCTGGGGAATGTGTAATTGATCCAGTAAGCACAGGGAAGCCATGGAAGATGTCTGACTAGGGGAGTGATTGTCATTAGTGTTGGAGGGAGAGGACAGGAAAGAGAGAGACCAAAGGTCTGGGTAAGACGAGGCTCTGGAGGGAAGGGTGTCCCACCTCACTGACCTCCAGGGCTCACTCTGCCTTCAGGAAACATCGTGGGAATCGGGCAGTGCCTGCTCCATGGCATGACAGTGGTTATCCGGAAGAAATTCTCAGCCTCTCGGTTCTGGGATGATTGTATCAAGTACAACTGCACAGTGAGTGAGAGGGAAGGAGATGAGCCATCCCTGTCCCCTCGTGACCCTCCCACCAGCCCCACTCGGGGACGCCTGTCTTACAGCTGAGGCAGCCAGTTGTCCATTGACAGATGGAGAGATTGAGGCCCGGAGAGGGAAAGGATTGCCCGGTGGGGAGGGACAGAGCTAGCAGGGGTGGGGGCCTGAGGGGCTGGGAGGCGGGAAGTGAGAGCAACCTCAGAGACCCAGACTCACCACGTCCACCTCCAGATTGTGCAGTATATCGGCGAGCTGTGCCGCTACCTCCTGAACCAGCCGCCGCGGGAGGTGGAAAAGCGGCACAAGGTGCGCATGGCGCTGGGCAACGGCCTCCGTCAGTCCATCTGGACCGAATTTTCTGGTCGCTTCAACATCCCCCAGGTGGCCGAGTTCTATGGGGCCACTGAGTGCAACTGCAGCCTGGGCAACTTTGACAGCCAGGTACTACTCAGGCCGGGGGTGTGGATGGATCACGGAGGCACTGGCAGCCGAAGGGAGGGCAGAGTTCCAGCGAGGGAGTGGGTGCTGGAGTGTCCCCCACTCACATGGCCCAGTTTGGGCGCATGGGGAGAGCCCAGGCCCAGGTCTTGGCCTTTGCAGGTGGGAGCCTGTGGCTTCAACAGCCGCATCCTGTCCTTCGTGTACCCGATCCGGCTGGTACGTGTCAACGAGGACACCATGGAGCTGATCCGGGGGCCCGATGGTGTCTGCCTCCCCTGCCAGCCAGGTCTGCCCTGTGGTTGGAATTGGGGGTCAGAGGGGAGGGATTGGCCCAGGAGGAAGACAGGACAGGTGGGTGGGAGGGAACCCTGTTCTGACCAGTGGCCATCAGTCAGTTCTCTTAGTTGTTTATTCCCTCAGTTCATCTATTCTCTTTTGTGTTGAGGACCCTGGGTCCAGGCCGCCTGGGATGATCCTAGCTCAGCCCTTTAGCTCTGGGCCCGAGTCCCCCCACCTTGCAATGGGGCTCATGGCAGCACTGCCTCATGGGGTGGCCCGGAGGATCATGTGGTGCAGAACATGCAGCTCTTTGAGCTGAGCCAGGAGCCCAGGGGAGGCTGCTTTGGCCAGACTGTCCGTGTAGGGTTCAGCCACCCTTTCATCTATTTGTTCATCTTTCCATTGGCTCAGGTGACCAGACATCACCGAGTGCCTACCTGTGTCAGGCCTGCCAAGAGAAGCTCCCTGCCCTGGGGGATGGACTGGGGGGGAGGGGGGGGAATTTCTTTGGGAAGTAGTGTGACCAGAGGTCAGATCAGCATGTAGGGTGCATTTGGGGGTGGGGGAGCTCAGTGGAAGAGGCCACCATGGCAAATCTGTCCCCGCCTTCCCGCCCCCAGGTGAGCCAGGCCAGCTGGTGGGCCGCATCATCCAGCAGGACCCCCTGCGGCGCTTCGATGGCTACCTCAACCAGGGCGCCAACAATAAGAAGATCGCCAAAGATGTCTTCAGCAAGGGGGACCAGGCTTACCTCACCGGTGAGTGGCACCTCTCCCTAGCCCTTCACAGCCCCATCAGAGGGTAGGGATGGAGAGAGATGAAGGGGTCTTTCCCACCTTCAGAGGACACCTCCCCAGGACTCCCCCAATCCCATCCCCTACAGCCAAGCAAATCCTTGGGATCCAGCGAGGACTCCCTGGCCTAAGCCCTATCTCCCACCCCCTTCCTAGGTGATGTACTGGTGATGGATGAGCTGGGCTACCTGTATTTCCGAGACCGCACGGGGGACACGTTCCGCTGGAAAGGCGAGAATGTGTCCACCACGGAGGTGGAGGGCACACTTAGCCGCCTGCTAGACATGGCCGATGTGGCAGTATATGGGGTCGAGGTTCCAGGTATCTTTGTATGGGCTGGTGGGAGATACCAGGTATGTGTGGGGAGGTGCCACCAGGGGGCACTGCCAGCCGCTCACGGTTCACTCCACTACCCCCAGGAACCGAGGGCCGAGCCGGAATGGCTGCTGTGGCCAACCCCACTGGCAGCTGCGACCTGGAGCACTTTGCACAGCTGCTGGAGAAAGAGCTGCCCCTCTATGCCCGTCCCATCTTCCTGCGCCTCATGCCTGAGCTTCACAAAACAGGTCTGTCTCCTCCCCTGTCCAACGTGCAGTTGCAGGCCTAGGCTCCTTCCGGTTCCTTCTTGAGAGACCTGGGTGGCTGTCACTTGAACTTCACCCATAGCTTAGCCAGGTAGTTGATAAACTGACCTCCCTGTGTACAAGTGAGCAGATGGAGTCTTCAGAGAGAGAAGGTTCATTCATTCACTAATGGAAGAAATGTTCATTGAGTACCACCTATGTGCCAGGCACTGTGCTAGGCCGTGGGGGCATAGGTAGCGGTTTCTGACAGGACCTGTGCTTTCTTGGAGCTTCTAGAGCAGCAGTTCTCAACCTGTGGGTCGTGACCCCTTTGGCGGTCGAACGACCCTTTCACAGGGGTCGCCTAAGACCATCCTGCATCTCAGA